AATAAGAATATTAAAAAGAATCTGTATCTGTATCTTTTTAAAGAAAATGAAAAAGATACAAGATTCTTTTCAAAATAAAGGATCTTAGATACAGATACTAGTATCTTATTAAAAATGTCAATAAGATACTGAGTACAAGATACAAAAGGATCTTGTATCTTAGTTACAAGTATTCGTGATACTGCCCAACTCTGTTATCTATTCAACACTATAGTATATTACTTGGCCGAATAATTGATAGAATTTTTAACTCTTTTATTACATTTAGAAGGATAGCAAAAAAAAGGTCCAGAAATAGTTTTATTTGGAAAATAATGTATGATTGTGTGTCATATATAGATTTGGTTGATTTCAATATCTTATTATATATAATATAAGTATTAATTCTTACAGCATTGTATATTTTCCCAATTTCATCTAAAAATTAATAGAAAACCCTTATATTTTTCCTACCCCAGTATACCACTCTTAAATCCTATCTCACTCAAAATAATTTGAATGCAAACTGTTCCTACCCTTCCCGCTCATCTAGACGCTGATCCTACTACATTTGAAATAACCTAATTACCTGATCACTGCAGTGATCATATAGTCTATAGAGATATTATCTTAAGAACTATAGCAGGTCTTTTAAGACGTATTAACGAGCTCTACTCTTCATTCGATTCCTACAATATGTTCTTCTTTTTCGATATTGGATACCACCCATCTATTCATTATAGAAACTCAAATAATAAATGTTACCTACTTAAGTACTATACCTTTAGCTTTATGGTCAGACAGGATGATACATTATTTTATGATCCAATCATCTTTTGCGCCAGTTTATCGTGGACAGAGGGGGGTAACAATACTCTTGGCAGAAGAATTATTTTGCCTTTTTCATTACCGATGGCCCAAGGCATATGCATCAACCTTATCAGGAAAAAATGGCCATTGTACGCTGCTGTGGTACGCCTTTATTATTCATTACTTTCATCTGCATAAACGGGATGAAATTAGGCGTGAATTATTTCCTCATCAGACTCCAATAGTCCGTCAAGATTTAGTCATTCGTGTTTTTCATCAAAATTAAAATTACTTAAAAAGGATTAGATCTATTATCATGTTCTTTGAAAAGTAATTACTTATATATATGCCATCGAATTTCAAAAAGAGGTTTACCTCATTGCTATGTGTATCTAATACATGATAAATCTCATAGGCTACGATGGTATTTATGATATGATAGTTTGTGCCAGGGGCGTCACTAGCCTTTACAATCCCAGGGAGCTCAATTAAAAAAAATTATCTGGTTTTTTTTAAAAAATATTATACTTTTTAAATTGAAATTTGCAAATTCTGACAAATTTCATATTTTGACATTTATTATGCATATATGCAAATATGAGCATATAAATAAGTAACATTTGCTAACCTAAAGATAATATTTTTTAATACAAAATATTTATTTATTACATCATAATTTATAATATAAAGAGCATTAAATATTAATGATTTTGATTTCGAATATAAATAATTTTGCAAATATAGAATTATAAAAGTGATTAAAAAAATTATTCTTCGTTTTCTTCATTATCCATTATACTTTTGTTGCTACCGACAATCAGACTATAGCATCCTCATCAGAATTCATGCCTATATTTAGTTTTTTTTACTTAGAAGATTTTATACCATAAGAGATATCTTCAGTTTGAGCCTCACATATAACTTCTATTGTTTTAAAAATAAATATATACAAATTAATTTACGTATTTTCTTTCTCTTTACTTTTATGATTTCATGTTAACTCTCAGAACTACAATTAGTCTTCATTTATTATCTAAAGTTTGAAATTGAAAAACTCTATTATAAATGTACTTTGTTCAACTCCCTATCATCGCCTCATCTTCCTTTGTCTAAAATATGATTAACATCAATATTCTTTCCATTTCCATTATTTAAAGAATTTATCTCAAAATCAATATCTCTTCGTTCTTTATTATCTAATAAATATAAAATAAATGAGTAAAAGATGTTTTTATTAAATATACTTAAACTCTGGCATTGCCACCTCTCAGTGGCTTCGCTGGGGGGGGGGGTTGTTAAGTCTTGCTTTGACTCTTTTCGTAATATATTTTCTGACAAATGCATGTCATATAAATTTATACTTCGAATCTCTAAGGTATATTGAGAATCTTAATTCTCTTCCACATTTTTACTTCCAGGTATATATTCAATTGTGAAATCATAAGAAGATATCTTTTAGGCTACAAGTCAAACGATTATTATAAATTTTTGGTAGATAGCATTTCTCCCCAAATAAATGCTTTAATGGTTTTTGTTCGAAGTAAAAAATTTCTCCCATAAATAAATGAAATATTTCAATACCAAATAAAAGTGCTCGAGCTTCTTTATCAATCAATCATAGCTTAGTGTTTCCCTGATTCTAATAACGTCCGTGACGCGAATGAGATAGGTTTTGTCCTTCAGTCTACTAATTGATGTAACAACACATCCCTTTATCCTGAATCAGAAGTGTCGCATTCCAAAATTATCGGCAACTGTCTGTTGTAGGGGATTATTGTTTCCTCGGATGACAATAATGTTACCACTTGAAAGGAATCGGGTTCCTCTTTCATCCACCGCCAAGGTACTTTAATATACTTCAACACGAATTCGCGCTAACAATGAATGCAGGGTAAATCAATGGTTTTATTTAACAATAATTATTATCAGCAAAAAACAAAATGATAGTGCATAATAAAAAAAAATTTATTTAATATTTTTTATCCAAGCTAAATTAGCATGTTTATATTTTTTTATAATAGACAATTGGAAAAAAAATGAATTCCCATTCGAAAAGCTTCCTTTTGGAAAATGAGAATTATACTTACCGCCATTGGCAGATGGAACTTTACCAATTAAACATAAATCAGCTAAAGGGGATATTTAGAAATACTTTAAAAATTCCTATCTTATTTTGTAACAATATTATAATTGTCGTAATTTTTTTTTTTCATAAAAAGGATTCGTTGATAATATCCAGCACCAGATATATTTTAATAAAATCTGGGATCCCGTAATTTACAAAATAAATATTTTCTAATAAATTATTATAAAAATTTGACTGAATATTAATTTGCATGTTTTTAATTATAATTATCTTTTGAGCGACTAATCTGAACGAATCTAGGAAAATAATTCCCCTGAGAAAAAATCCCCTTTTATTAAGATATTAAAAGTTACAAAATTAATAAAATAGGAGAAAAAATTCCCTATAAATATTTCCACGAAATAAAAATCTTCAAATAAAATGTTGAAAAATTTTATTCATTCATTCATTACCACGCCTAGAAATTGCACGAAGTGCAATTTCATCACCCACCAGGAGTTGGGCATGCACCAAGTATATTCACTAGTATATAGATCCTATACATGATGTATATCCGTTTTATTATAGTGGACGGTAGCACTATGTAGCCAGCTATCAAAGTGAAGAAGGGAGAAGTACGAAAGTGGTGATGTATTAGTTCCGTTACCAGCAGAATAGTGTTAAGAAATATAATGTCATGTAATAATTTACCTGAATCCTGATATGGTTATTTAGTGAGGCAACAAAAAAACAATAATAACTCTTATATCTTTGTGAGTATTGAGAGTTTAAGTTAAGTTTGCATGATGATTCCTTCTTTGTTTGTTGTTAGGTGTGTCGATATCGCGTGTCCCGTAGACCTTGTACGCGCTGTGCAAATGATATTTGGGTTCGTCGGTGTTATTGCGTTATTATAATAACCAGTGTTCATTATCATTATCCATTATTCTATTTGTTGTTCGATATCGTGTGTCCAGAAGAAAAAGTCGTGGGTTTATATGAGGAAAGTTGCGTTGTCCAGATTATTATCATCATCAAACATGCTTTGTTCTAGCCATTGCAAGAAAAGAACAAGAAGAGAAACGGTTCCTATTTTAATTTAGGCCATGTTTTAGCATGTATTTTAAATAATCTTTTAGGCGTTTCTTGTTCTTGCTTGTTGAGTGCCATGTCTGCAAACGAGATGTTGATCAGGTCCATATCCTTCAAACATTTCGCCAACCAATAGTATTTAAGGGTACTTTTCTTCCCACTGTCAGGGGACCATTTCATGGACGAGAATATCATATTTAGGATGCGAGTGTCTTAGTAATTCTAATCTCCTCATGGGAATGAGTCGATTGATTGGTAGGATGTCGCATCTATTTCAGAGCGTTGAATTGGAGGTGTTGTATGGGTAATATGTTTTGATGATTCTTCTTAGGCATTTGTTTATAAATGTTTGAGTTGCGTTGATGTTGCTTTTAGTGTCCTGCCAAGTCTCCAGTCCGTATGTAAGAATGGGTACAATTAGGGACTTAAAGAGTTTTATTTTTAAATTAATTGATATTTGGTTGGATGACCATAATTTCGACAATTGATGATACCGGAGTCTAGCATTATTAGTTCTCGATTTCGTATCTAATATTGTGAAGCCTAATGATGTTATCTTAGTTCCTAGGTATTTGAAATCTGAAACTAATTCTATCGTATTACCCTCGAAGTTAAAGGGGTTTAAGTTACTCGCATATGTATTTGAGGTGATAAGCTTGGTTTTTGTGTAATTAACTCTTAATCCATATTCATAACAGTTGTTGACAAATAATGATAAAATATTTCTTATCTTGTATTCCGAGTTAGCTAATATACACACGTCGTCGGCATAACATAGAAAATTCAGAGAGTTATGCATGTCATTGTGGTGCTGTTACTTGTTTAAAGGATTTATTTAGGATATCATTCATTATTACATTAAAAATAATAGGCGAGAGAATGCATCCTTGTTTATATTATCTTTAAAAGGTTGTGGTTTTACATTTAGATGTTGAGGTACTACGCTATGATTGTCATAAATTATCTTAATTAGCGATATCAGATGCTTATCTATTCCTATGTTTCCCAGCAAGGGCCATATCTTGTGCTGTATAATGGAATCGAAGGCTTGACTTTAATCAATCATTAGGGCAAAGATGGGGGATTTATGCATTCTAGCCTTTTCCAGAATAACTTTAGGTGCCATAGTCAACTCCGTAGTATTTCTACCCTTCCTGTATGATGTGATAGTGTTAGAGAGGAACCTGTTGATGATTGGTTTAATCCTGACAGATATGATGTATGTGAAAATTTTTAGGGTAACTGGAATCAGTGCAATACCTCTGTAATCCTTAAGGCTGTTTGGGGTCTTGTTTTTAGGGAAGTTTAGTATTATTGATGTCATCCATTCGTCAGGAAAATTACCCGTATTCCATATCTCCCTAAAGAGGGGAAGTAGTAAACTGGCACTTAGGTCTACATCTATCTTCCAGAGTTCTGCAAAGATCCCATCGACTCCAGCAGCTTTATGCATTTTTAGTCGTTTAATGGCACCGATTATATCCAACTTTTTCAGGTTCTGACTGCGTGATTGGAAAGGGTAGTCACATATAGGTCTGGGCCACCTTGTTCTGTAGAGGTTCATGCAATGGTTTATCTATATGTCTAATTGTTCCTTTGGGTCAGTTATAATCTTATTGTTATATAAGTGTAGTCTTGGTAAAGGATTGATCTTGAAGGTGGTGAGTAGTTTAAGAGATTGGAAAGCCTTATAAATGTTATTGTTATCAAAATTGAATTGGATAGATTTAGATAAATTAGCGATAAACAGCCTTTTGTCGGCCCTTATGCGGTGAGTAATGTACTTCCTGTGATGTTTAGCGTATTGTAATGGGATATATTTATTGTTAGGTTCTTAATTATTTGTATAGTCGAAGGGGTGAGCCACTCTCTGCGTATAATGCGTAGTCTTAAACATGATTACTAACTAATAATTTCAGCTTAATATCCTTCCAGGTCAGATTTGGGTTAATCATGCCATTTAATGTATTCCTCCATGTTGCTAATTTAGTGACGAACTCTTCCTTCATCTCTAAGTCATTGAGCTGTGCCAAGTCTTTTCTGGCTATGAATCTTACACTGGTGAGACAGTTTTATTTAATGTGATTTGGGAAAATGCTATTGTTGATTCTGAGTTCACAGCCCAGTGGGTAATGGTCTGTAAAAAGTAAAAGGTTTAGTTTACTGATTACTCTGATGTCTCTTACCCACTTGAAGATCTTTGTGGAAATTACAAAGTAATCTATCTGTGAGGTAGTGTCAAAGGAAGGACTCTTGTAAGTCATGATGTGATGAATAGGATGCTTGAAAAACGTATTTCCAATTTTCATGTTGAAAAGTTCACAGATTTCTATTAACCTTTTACCGTTGGGGTTCGTACTTTGTATTAATGCGGCGTTTCCAAGGCAGGGAGAATTATTAGGTTTGCCTACCGAAGCATTGAAATCGCCTGCTAAGATGATACCACACGGTAGTTCCTTTAAGGTATTTTTCAATTTCATATAAAAAATAATATCATTGTGAGGTGCGTATACGTTAAACAAATGAATTTTTTTGTATCCTAAGTTTAAGGTAAGGCAGCAGTGGCGTAGCCAGGATTGATCCATGGGGGGGGGGGGGGGTTTGAAAAATTTTTTGGGAGCTTCGCCCCCAAACCTTCTTATCAAAATTTGCCAATATTTTGTGTATTATACCCAGGCCAGCATAAATATTAAAAAATATTAGAATTAAAATTTTTGCCAAATTTATAATTAATAAGCGACTGAAAGCATTATTTTGAAAATGTTATCAATGTTTAGTAAATTGTATATTAATTCAATCTATTCGATGTAAAAAAAATTTGCCTCCCCCCAAACCTTCCAATTTTATGATCAACTCAATATATCTTATTCTATGTTAAAAATAATTATTTTAATTAAATTTTTGCATATAACAATATTTTGCAGAGATTTTATTTATTATTAACTTTATTTATTTAACTATGTATTTATTTTAATAATATATAAAAAAATAAATTTCAAAATATATAAATTTTATACAGATTATTATATTAAAAATTGAATGTAAATAACTATATTTTAAAAAATAAAATTGCAATAAAATATGTAATTCTTGCTAAAAAAATACAATTTAACAATTTTATTTAGTATAAACCCTTTATTTAACTATGTGTTTATTTTATATACAAAAAATAAATTTCAAAATTAGAAATTTTATACAGATTACTATTTTAAAAATTGATTGTAAATATCTATATTTTAAAAAAAATAAAATTAAGTAATTCTTGTATGCAATTTAAAAAAATATAATTTAACAGTTATATTTAATACAAATGAGTATATTATATAAATAATTCTTATTGTAGGCGCAATACTATTATTAAATATAATATAAAAATATCATGACTAAAAATTCATTATAATTACGTTTTACATATAAAAATTTTATGACTAAGAAAATATTACAATTATATGATTTGAATTTATAAAGAGAGGTCTACTTTTCTCTGAGATTTGGCTAATTCATCTAGAATCAAATTTTTATCTAGAATAATCTCCTTATACATATTTAACTGGGCTAATCCATTTAAACGGTTTTCACCGGTGCTATTTCTTAAATAGGTTTTTAACCTTTTCAAAGTTGAAAAAGACCTTTCATTAGTGCAGGTACTAATCGGTAAAGTAGCTAAAATAAAAAACAATGTTTTGATATTGGGCAGGGAATCTAAAGTCCAATTACACATGGAAAGGGCCTGCAAAGCATTTTTTGGCCTCAAAGAGTACTCTATTCTGTCAAGATTTTTATACCAAAATTCGACATCACAAAGTAACTTATCATACGACCCTAATAAATCATCAGAATAAAACTCTGAGATGTTCTTAATATCCTCTCGCGTTTCAAGTGTAATCAACAATTCAGACTCAACCGGCAAAAGAAAATAAAAGCTTTTTAAAATAAAATTGTGACTTATAAATCTTTCCTTTAATTGAAATAAAAATGTATCAATAAGTGGAATAAAAATGTTAATTTTATAAAAATCCTCAATCGTAGATTCATCAATATTTGAGCGATTGGATTGTCTAGAAACTACTCTAGGTTTAAAAATTTCAATCCCAAACATATTAGCGATCTCCTTTACTTTCTCATATATTTAGTGAAATTTTTCATCCACATTATCTCTGATATTTGTTAATATTTCAACAATATCCTTTGCCCTATTCATAACCTCCCTTAAATCCAAATCAATTTTTTGTAACATTTTGCTAAAATCATATGTATAATTAAATAAAAAATAAACACATTGAATTGAAATTAAAAATTGAGGCTTCGTAACGGAATCTTTTTCTTTGCGTAATATGTATGATTCCAGTGCCGCAAAAATAACCTCATATAACTCGATGAAAACCTTCACCGATTGTTGTCTTTCAATGAATCTTGTGGGACAAAATCTTTTTAATTTTTTTTTTGAATTTTTTGAATCAATTTCATCGAACGTTTGGGTAAAAATCTCCCTCTTCTTGGGTGGGGTAAAGAAGTCACAAACCGACGATATTGTTTCTAAATTTTGAAAAATATATAAAAATTATATAAAGATATCTATAATACGTAATAAAATCTAATAAATTTCAATTAAATCAAAATCTTTTTACGTAAACTGTTCCGGATGTCTCTAATTTCACATGCCTCAGTTATCATCAAATTCAGGCAATGTGAACTGCAGTGAACATAAAGAGCTGTGCTATAAAGCTCTCTAATTCTTGACTGGACCCCTTTAACATGGCCACTCATCGAGGGAGCTCCATCGTACCCTTGGCCTCTCAGTAGATTTAAATTTAAATCCAGGTTTTGAAGTGATTTAATAATTTGACTAGCAATCGTTTCTGACTCAGTGTCAGGTAATTCAATAAATTGAACAAATAGTTCCTTCATTTTATAATTACCTGATTCCATATCAATAAACCTTATTGCTATGGATAGTTGTTCAATATTACCAATATCGGAAGTTTCATCCGCCAAAACACTAAAAAATGGTGATGCTTTGACTTTTGAAGAAACTTCCTTTAATATAAACTGATTGCATATTGATATTATTTCATTTTGAATAGTGGGACTTAGGTAAGTAGCATTTTTAGAGGAGCTTTCAAAAAGCTTTAGGTAGTTGTCATTATTATTACATAAAAATTTCAATAATTCCTTGAAATTTCCTTCATTGTGAGAAGGGGATGTAAGTGTTAGGGGGCCAGGAGATATCCTATGAGCTCTTAACGCCAAGCCCTGCTTCCCTAACCAAATGATAGCATCAATAATTATAATTATTCTTGATCGATTTTATGTAACAATATCAAAAAAATTTTTATTCAATACATTGGATATTGATATCTTTTGATTCATTGAGATTTCTTTTAAAGAATCCATTATCTCACAGGAATTAAGATGATATTTATTTTTAATTTTCGAGCGCATCTTTCCACCTTGTGTACACCTGACTTACCAATGTTTTGAGTTTTTGTAACACATTTCTAGCATATCTTGGGGAAAATATGACGCAAACTTTACAAAATGCGCCCTTTTCATCGGCTGAGTAAGCAAGCCACTTATATTTGTTAAGCCAGGATGCTTGAAAGGTTAAATTTCTTTTGCCCAAGGGCAATGGAAATTTATAACATTTGTCAGGTATCCAAATATTTTCAACAGCTAACAATTTTTCATTATCATTTTTAAAATGAAAATTTAAGTAAAGTGAAACATCTTTTTGAGAACGGTGTGGTGTTTCTATATTTTTTTTAGATTTTAAATGATATATTTCAATATGAATTTCAATGTTAAGAGCTGAGCAGCACAAGAAAAAAATCAGGATTATAAAAAATGTATCTCAGATAGATATCAAAGTTTCTTAATAAAAATTTAAAGACAGATACAAGTAGAAGGAAATTACTATAGAATATCATTACCAATTTTAATTAATATTTTTATATTTGTAGGATGATTTACACTCATGGAAGTGAAGAAGGTAGTAATATTTAAATTATGAAAATAAGTTCCTAAATATTATAAGCTGCCCAAGATTGTATATACAAAAGATTTTAAGAAAATAATTATGTTCTTCACAAATAAATAATAAAAACTGTATTTTATAAACTATTCTAGTTTAATTGGTAATGATAAATCATCTGTATCTAAGATTCATTTTTTCACAACAAATCTGTATCTAGATTATTTTTCTGGAGGGCCTGCCCAACTCTGTTTGTATTGTAGATACAAGTTTTCAATACTGCTCAACTCTGTTTGACTTATAATGTACTACCTTTTGCAAAATAACACAAAAAAATGACTAACTTTAAAATTATAACTAAATATCGTACATTGCAAAATTTTAATAACTCAAAATGAAAATAGTATAATTTACAAATAAAAAAAATGGAATTAAAATAAATACTATACCATCATTTGATGATTTTCCAGCCAAATCAACTGATAGCTCATATGCTTTTGTAACACATAATGTTTTTATTTTTAATTAAAAAATATTAGAAATTATAAATAATTTAGAATATATACCATCATTTGATGATTTTGTAGCTAACTCATCATTGTTCCCATGCAGATGGAGTGGTAATGGTATGTCTGGTATTTTTAATTGCAAGATTTAAATAAAAAATATTGATAATATCATTACCTTCGAACTCAACTGATGGCTGATTTTCACTAGCAACATCCATATATATTTCTAATTCAATACATAACTTAAATTTTATAAATAAATTAATATATACCTATTTTTTGTTGTTGACAAAAAAATTTACGGATATCCATATTTAAAAATTATAAAAACTTAAAATTTACAAACAAAACAAACTATCTAAATAGTTTAAATTTAAAAATATATATTTAATAATTAAATTTATAAATATCTAATTTAACTATGCCAAGCCAGAAAATATTTACAAAATATCTTTATTGTTATTTAATATTCTAATTTAACTATGCCAGAAATTATTTACAAATACAATATATCTTTATTCTTATTGTTGTTTTTACTTCTCAACTCTGCTTGGCTTATAATGTACTACCTTTTGAATAACACAAAAAAATGACTAACTTTTAAATATCGTACATTGCAAAATTTTAATAACTCAAAATGAAAATAGTTTAATTTACAAATAAAAAAAATGGAATTAAAATAAATACTATACCATCATTTGATGATTTTCCAGCTAAATCAACTGATAGCTCACATGCTTTTGTAACACATAATGTTTCTATTTTTAATTAAAAAATATTAGAAAATAGAAATAATTTAGAATATATACCATCATTTGATGATTTTGTAGCTAACTCATCATTGGTTTTCCCATGGAGGGGTAATGGTATGTCTGGTCTTTCTAATTGCAAGATTTAAATAAAAGATATTATAAATAATACCATTACCTTCGTCATCTGAGGATACAACGAAAACCAACTCAACTGATGGCTGATTTTTACTAGCAAGAGCAACATCTATATCTATATATATTTCTAATTCAAATTAAACAACTTAAATTTTTATATACCTTTTTCTTTTTGTTGTTGACGAAAAAACTTACGGATATCCATATTTAAAAATTATAAAAAATTAAAATTTACAAACTATATATATAGTTTAAAAATATATATTTAATAATTAAATTTATAAATATCTAATTTAACTATGCCAAGCTAGAAAATATTTACAAAATATCTTTATTGTTATTTAATAAATTTAACTATGCCAGAAATTATTTACATACAATATATCTTTATTCTTTTATTGTTATTTAATATTTTAGTTCATATAATTTATATATATTTTTAAACGATGTGATCATTTAAAATTAAAACTCCTTTTTTTATAAATATATTTCATTGTGATATTCATATTCATATTCATATTGTATTATATATAATATATTATCTTATTTCTCTAAATTGAAACCGTTTTTTAAATATAATTATTCGCAATAAAAAAATAATAATTTTTTATTTTATAAAAAAAAAAAAAAAAATTAAAAAAAAAAAACATTTTTTAAAAAAAATAAAAAAAAAAATTTTTTTTTTCCATGGGTGGGGTTTCGGCCCCAAAACCTTCCCCCTTGTCTACGCCACTGTAAGGCAGCATATTCGACTGGAGATTGGGTTGAAGCTTACGAATTTTATTAATTTATTATGTATTAAAATCGCCACCCCAGCCCAAACGTGTTCAGCGTTAGAGCTGCAATATAAGGTATAATCTAAGAGGTTCCTTACTTCAGTTACTTTAAGGTGGGTTTATTGTAAAAGGAGTATATCATAGTGTTGATCAATGACTTGCCTAAGTATAGTTAATTTGTCATTCAGGGATCTTATATTTAAAGAGATCATTTTAATACTGTGGCCCTTCATTGAAAATTTTTTTAAAATTTATTATGATTACCGTGCCGAATCTGTTTTGAGAAGACTAATTAAGACTTAGATACCAATTAGAAATAGGTTTTGAAAGCAAAAAAATTCTGACCTGTTCCAAGTTTACTTTACTTTACTATTCTTGAGATATTAGTTGTCCTTCTAAGAAACGCTCCACGATCTTGACTTCTTAAGATATTAGTTGTCCTTCTAATATGTAAATTAATTTTTCCAAGTTTATATCGATCATCATTTAGTTTTGTTCTCAGATCCACATTTTTGAATTTCATTTATGAAGATTTAAATCGCATTGCATTTAAAATTATGAATCAACATTAAAATATATTTTTAAATCAAGCGGGTTATCATATGAAAATGAATTGTCCATTGGTTCATTTAAAAAAAAATATAATCAAATTAACAAATTTAATATTGTAATTAGCTGAGTTCAAAATCACTAATCAACTATTTTATTCATTTTTAAATTTAATTACCATGCCTCTTCTTAAAAATATTTCCAAGATCCAAACAGGTATAAGAAATTTATTTATAAAAAGTAAGTATATTAAATAAAATATTTTTTACTCATTCATTTTAATTTATTAGCTAATGAAGAAAAAAAATGGTAATGATTTTGAGATGATTGCGGTAAATAATGGTAGCAATAACAATATTGATATTTTAGACTAAAGAAGAGGATGCAATAATTAAGTTGGTGGTGAACAAAGTATATATAAATTGCAGTTTTCGACAAACATGCTTTAGATATTAATAGAAGATTAATTGTAGTTCTTAAAGATATAAATATCGAAAGCAGAAAAGTTAATAGAAAAAAATAGGTAAATTAATTTATATACAAGATATTTTATTTGAGAAACAATAGGAGCTAAATGTGTGTCTCAATCTGAAGATATACGTGAAATCCTAGTGTTTGCAACGGTCCGGTCCGGTCGGTCCGGTCTTTTTTTCTAAAATGGGACCGGACCGATGGACCGTTAAGTCAAATGAGACCGGACCGTGGGACCGTCGGTCCGGTCCGGTCCAGGCGGTCCGGTCCCACCTAAAAAATTTTTTTTTATAAAGCTACAAAAGTTTTATTCTGCATTTAAATTTATTAAAAATGAATAGTTAAATTACCCTATTAATATTTCAATTATATCATCAATTCATTTTTATTATATTATACACAAATGCCTAATCAAAGAAGAATATAAAAAGTAAACTATGAATATTGAATTTAATGAAACGGAAGAATATAAAAAGTAAACGATGAATTAGATATTATATAGTGTTAGGCATTAAATAATCATATTTTATATGTTCATGTACATACACATTAACTATAAAGCAATTTATAGTAAACTTTTATATTCTTTAATCGGTCTTCGGTCGGACCGGACCGGACCGTGGGACCGTGTTGTTGGACGGGACCGTCCCATAGGACCGAAAAGTCTAATAAGACCGGACTGGACCGGACCGGACCGTCGGTCCGACCGGTCGGACCGGACCGTTGCAAACACTATGAAATCCAATCTAGATATCTCAAAAAGTATTTTTTTTTATATATAATTAAAGATAAAATTTGTTATAGGCTGGGAATCTGATAAGGATCGTACAACAAGCCTTCTTCTTCTTCTTATCCGTTTTATGGCTATTTCCAAGTTTACCCAGGTAGGCCAGTTTTCCCTCTGATTTTTCTTTTCCGTTTTTGACGGTCCTGAGCATCAATATTTGTAAGATTCATGTTTCTCATATCCGTCGCTATCACATTTGTCCGCGTCATCTTGAGCCTTCCTCTAGGTCTTGATCCTCCTACTTACATTAAGGTCAGCGTCTACATGACAGGATTTTCCCTGGATGCAAACTCCCTTCAAAAACCCATGCGTACCCCCCCCCCCCCCCCAAAAAAAAAAAATATACTACCACCTTCGGCGGCGGTGTTTTCCTATTATTATTTTTACCTTTTTAATTTATTGATACTCTTTTCAGAGAATTTATAAAGGATAACTTAAATTAATTAATCTCTACTATCAACTATCGATATTTTGTGAATATAAAGAATTTATTTTTTAGATAATAAATTCTTTTAAAACCTCCATTATTTACAATGAATTAATTATTATGGCATTATGAGCTTGCTGAAATATCTAAACCTTTTAAATTACATTTAAACGGATAGCAGAAAGTTTTATTTTGAAAACAATGTGTATGATTGTTTGCAATATATAAATTTGGTCATGAATTGTATTACTATTACAGCAATAATTTTGTCCTATTTCATCTCAAAATTTAATAGATAACCCCCCAAAAAATTTATCCTACCCCCATTAAAGCAGCCTACCCCCCACCCACCAAAAAATAGGATGCAAACTGTTCCTACCCCTCCCGCTCATGTAGACGCTGATTAAGGTGCATCTCTTTACCCAATTTTTTTGTCATATGTTCCACATCCCCAAACCAACTTAGTCTATTTCGTAGCATTACCACTCCACTCATTTCTATACCCAATCTTGCTCGCAATTCCTTGCTAATTTTTCTCTCTCTCAGATATACCCCACACATCCATCTAATTACCCTCATCTTTTCTAATTTGGCTTCGTGAGTCGCTTTCATTGCCCATGTTTCGCCGCCATAAACTAAATAACTCCTCACACCGCTTATGTAAACTTTCCCCTTTAACTTCAGAGAGATTTTTTTATTTGTAAGAATAGACGACATCTCTCTGAACTTCTTCCAAGCTTGTCTGATCCTTGCAACAACGGCAGAATCTACACCACCATCTTCGATTAGCATATCACCCAAATAACAAAACTTATCCACTTTTTCTAGGGTTAACCCATTGCCAATATCCAGACCACCATTTTCTACTATCATTATTATGTATCCCTTTCATACATGTTCTACAAATAAAGGTCATTTTTTCTAACATCAAACTTCTTTTTTTCCGCTACATCTATTATGTACCCATTTTTGGCATCTGATGCATTGGATTGAATTTCTAGCAACTCCTTTCCCACATACACCACAAGGCCACTTACCGGATTCCTCCATCTTTAGATTTTCCCCACCAATCATCACCTTTGTCTTTGATGCATTCATTTTCAGACCCTCCCGCAATCTAAAGGATCACCTTTTCCCTTGTAAACTGGGATAATTATATTTCTTCGCCAGTCCTTGAGAATAGTTCCTTCTGTGACCATTTGATTTGCCAAATTCATTAACCATTTAATCCCTAAGTCATCAGAACCTTTAAACATCTCTGATACCACCATCGTTAAATCAGATGCCTTCCCTTTTTTTCATCTTTTTCACTGCTCTCTTTATTTCACCCTTGCCAAATTTACATCCTGGACCTTCTACCTTTGCACAACTAACATTATTATTCCATTCATTTTCTTCGTTCAAAAGTTCTTCCATGTAGATCTTTCAGGTGTTCTTAATACCATTACTATCAATTACCATTTTTCCTTCCATATTTTTCAAACATTTAACACCTACCATATCTTTCCTCTCGAAGGCGCAAAAATAAAAAAGACATTCCTAAAGAAATGGAATGCGCTGAAGGAATGGGAAATGTGGTTCGAATGGCAAAGCAGATGGCAAAATTAATTTCTTAGCATTTCTTTTGGCCATCTTGTAAATATTGTTATCACTATTATCCTTCTATTATACCATTCTTTAAACACCTGCGTTTCTCATCCACAGCTTTGGCTACCTCCGAGTTCCACCACCAAGTCTCCTTATGTCTAGGCGGCCCTTTTGTCCATCCACATACCTCCTCAGTTTTCCTTACCCAGGCTTTCTTCATAGCTTCCAACTTGTCATTTACCCCAGATGCTTGTGCCATCTCCGCCTCCTTTATCGCCAATGTCATATTGAATTGTCGTCTTGCACTCTCCTCCTTCAATTTACTGACCTTCAGTCTTGGCACAAACTTTCTTTTAGTGATCATAGCGCCTTTAAAAGTTAGATCTCCGATAACTAGTCGTTGCTGATCAATACATTCCTCTCCCGATATCACTTTCACATTTTTCACTTTACATCTATCACATCTCCTTAATAACATAATCCACCGCACTTTTGATACTACCTGACTTATAAGTCACAAGCTTCTCGATTCTTTCTTAAACATTGTATTACAGACAATCATATCCACACTAAAATCTAAAATCCTCTCCCCTTCCTGATTCCTCATGCCGTAACTGCAGCGTCTACATGACAGGATTTTCACTGTATGCAAACCCTTTCAAAAACCTTTACCTACACCCATAAAAAATTTCCGCCGCCTTCGGCGGCGGTGTCTATTTATTATTATGTTCACCTATTTATTAATTACTACTCTTTTCAAAGAATTTATAAAGGATAATTTAAATTAATCTATCTCTACTACCAACTATCAATATTTTATGAATATAAATAATTTATTTTTAGATAATAAATTCAATTAAAACCTCCATTATTTACAATGAATTTATTATTCTGGTATTATGAGCTTGCTGAAATATCTAAACCTTTTAAATTACATTTTAAAGGATAGTTTATTTGGAAAACATGTGTATGATTGTTTGCAATATATAGATTTGGTCGATGAATTGTATTATAATAATACTATAATAAAAGTATTAATTTTTACAGCAATACATTTTGTCCTATTTCATCTCAAAATTTAATAGATAACCCCCCCCCCCCCCCCCAAAAAAAAATTTTTTTTTTTATCCTACCTCCATTAAAGCAGCTTACCCCATACCCCCTCAAAAAAATAGAATGCAAACTGTTCCTACCCCTCCCGCTCATGTAGACACTGCGTAACTGTCCCCTCCATGTACTTCTTCATAACCTTCACTACTCTCTCCTACATGTCCATTCAGATCACCAGCCAGGATAATCCCCTCTTCATTCCAGTCTCGATGTCACCCCCAATAGACTGTCCTAAAATATATCTTTCTCTTCTTCACTTCTTCCAACCTGAGGAACACACGCTGATATAATATTATATAGCTTTCTTCCAAAAATCATCTTAATAGCAATTATCTGGTTATCTAGTCTTCTCTCTTCGACTACTTTTTCTACCAATTTCTCCATCACCAATACCCCAACTCTAGCCTTACCATCATTACTTCCTTGTCAAAAGAATTTATAGTTTTCACTAGTCTTGCCAATCATTCTTGTCCCATTTCCTTTCCATCTGGTCTCCTGTATGCAGCACACATCTATATGCCTTATACAATACATCGACCACTTCTCCCTCTCTTCCCTTCATACTACCAACACATGTTTTATTTTAACAATATGGAAATTTGGTAGCAAGGATTTTACAATCAGATGCCCTTCCTGTCAACCCCTTTAAGTGGTTTTTACACCCCGTAGAGGAGACGGGAATCTTTTAGACCTCCATTAGCCGCCAAAAGACGTTGCCACTCTCCCGCCACGATGAGGCTGAAGATAACAACAAGCCTGATTGTTGATATCAATAATCTATATGAATGTATTATGGATATAGAAGTTGTATTAGAAACAAAGTACATTTGATGAAATACACTTTAAAATTAATCTTATTTAGATTTTTGGGATAATGAAGAAAGAAGGTTAGTAAATAGTGTAGGCACAAAAGTAAAAACAAAATAGGTATATTAATTTATATATAAGATATTTTATTTATAAAATAAGAGAATGAAAAGACAAATATACAAGTATGTTTTTATAATATAATTAAAAATTAGAAGGCATGAATTTGATGCCTTTACTTTTTATTAATAAATTATGTAATATTTATATGTATATAAACATATTTTTTATTTATTTTAACATTTTTCTTCAAATATATAATATTTGTCATTTTTTTCAGAAAAGCTATAACAATATTTTAATTCATATATTAATGTTTGTCACTTTTTTCAGAAAAACTTGATCTAAGTACAAAACGACAATCAATAATCAAGAAAATCATTGTGAAATATTAAATTGTTTGAAAGAGCATGATCCATTTTTAATGGTATTCCACTAAGCAATGTTCATTAAACCTAAATCATAAAATCATCAACCTGAGCTTAAACCGAAGCACCGAGCGCCGACCCTAGAAAGAATCCGAACACTCACCCAAACACCAACCCAAGAAACGTAATATCATATTTTCTTATGTATTTTTTGCTCGATCATATTTTTATACATAGAGGACGAGTAGTTCAATAACATCTAAATTATCATATTTTTGTATTATTATATTAGATCCCTTTTTTTTTACAAATTGTTCTCTTCTTAATCTGAAAATATTGAATAATTTTTACTTTACACTGGTAACTCGAGTAGAACCCATAATAAACTAGAGGTGGTTCAATATTCAAGATAAGCCCGACCCAGCTCGGCCCGAATTTTTTTGATATTAGGCCCGACCTAGCCCGAACCCGAAATGATTTTTAAAAGGTTCGGTCCGAGGCTGGTGGATCTATAATGTGAATAATGGGATTTAAATTTTTTTTTATCTTAAATAACTGTTTTAAATTTTTTAACAAAAACTCCAAATATTTTTATAATTTTTCGAAATTTCTAGTTGTAAACATTTAATAATATCGCTATTAGAGAACGGGTTTAGGTTTGAAAAAATAGTGCAAAATTTTTTAAGGGCTCTACCTAAGTTTTGAAAATGTCTTTAAAGTTGATAATGATGCAAATTATATCTATTTCTTTCGTGAATTAATTTTACTGCCCGAGCCTGACAGTATGTTTCAAATTAATTTATGGTTCCTGTCGTAAAAAAATTACAGGGTAGGTAGGGCCCAAACTTTTTAAAAGCCCTTTAATCGCTTTCACATTTTTTTGTACCGTAAATCATAAAAAACCTATCAATGGTGCCAAATGCCTTATTAACATATATTGGTATATACATATTATTATTGTTTTTATTTTTAACTAAAATTTAATTTATTTAAAGGATTAAAATATTTAACACACACATATATATATTATGCTAATGACAAGTGTAAATTTAAATTTATAATAATTAAATATGCTGTATGATATTGTATATATTTGTAGTTTTACAGTTTATATTATTAATAGACGTCGATATTATTCATACATTTATATTATAAATATTAGGTTAATTTTTGACAGTAATATTTATACATATAATTTAAAAATAATATATACTAAGCCCAAATTATAGATATTTTTGACAGTGATATTCATTGTTCAAATAGTGAGTTAAGTCATAGGCGTAGCCAAGGGCCAGGATTTTCGCAAATATCATTTTAGGCTAATAATATAACCCACCCTACTAAAATGTGGACTATATATCGCTATATATAAATTATTTAAAAGAAAAATAAACTTAATATACATTTTAATTTTTTCACACGAAATATTTTTAAAACCCGGTCAAAGGCCTGCAATAAGTAGACAGAAAGCTCGCTAATAAAATTCACGTGGTAAAAGAATAGTTAGTAGTGGCACCCTCCCCTCCCCACCTTCTTTAGATGGCTACGCCTAAGAAAAATAAAAAGATTATTTTAAAGAACTACAATTATGCATACTGATCACATATTTAATTATAGTTATAATGTTTTTTAAAAAAAATTAATTATGTCGAAAGCAACAGTGAGTTTTAAGAGTATCATAAAATATAGTTTTTATAGTAGGATCAAAAAATAAAGTTATATAAATACTCAGCGCATTATTTCCATATTTGGTTAAATAGGCTATGTTCTGAAACCACAAGGCAGACTTAGTCGAAAATGTATCTGTCCATGGTTGGTAGATAAACATATAAATTGTCATAGGAATAGTGCTTAATACATAATGTATATTCAAGGCTAACATTAAAATCGTAATCTGAAATTCTCTCTTCTGCATAGCTGGTAAAGTATTTTCATTCGGTA